TTAATTAGTTATTTAGCAAATACTAGCTTTATATTATTTATTTTATTGTTCTTTTTCTTATAATAATATAAAGTAAAAAGCTAATTTTCTTAATTAGTTATTTGGCAAATACTAACTTTATATTATTCTTTTATTTTTCTTCTTTTTCTTATAATAATATAAAGTAAATAGCTGGTTTTCTTAATTAGTTATTGGCAAATATTAGCTTTATATTATTGGAATTTAAAGGCTACATATAGCTATAAATGGTCTAATTATTAAGGCTTTTTTTTCTCTAATTATACTTTACAGACATTTCTAAGTTTTAAAGTCTAATAATTTTTATATAGTGTAAACATTTTGTTATACCTAATCTGTACAGACTGGACAGTAGAATTAGTTTAAAAGCTAGTTCTATTGTTGTATCTTATAGTGTTTAGGAGGCTATTGAATTTAAATTTTATTTTTAAATATTTATTTTTTATTTTTAGTTATTTTTATTTATTTTAATTTCCTTTAAATAAAAAATCTTTTACTTGACACTCATGCTATTAAAAATTACTACAGCTTGCTAGTTTTTAGTAAATTTTATTACAATATTTATTTAATATTAATAGAATAAATTTTAATATTTCTACATATATATATATATATTAATAATATGCAAAGGTAATTAATTTATTTGAATAATAGTTAAAATAACAAAAGTAAATAAAATTTAATTTAAATTAATTAAAAAAGTAATACAATATTAAAAAAATTAAATTAAATTAAAATGATTAAAGAATGAATTAAATACTTATATATAAGAAGTAATTTCAAAATTTTTAACAAAATTAAAACCTTTTGCAATATATTACATATTTTTGAACAACATTACTAAAATACATCTATGGTGTTAAACACTATATATATATAATATATATTTTAAAGTAGTTACATATATAAAATAATGCATATTGTACTACTAACAATTATTACAATTATTAATAACCATTTATTTGTATAACATTTCTTATATATTGTGAATCCTGAAATCGGTCATAGTCTCATGTAACAGATCATTGAAATTAGATCCTGTTGCCTATCCAAGTAACTGGTCACATAAAAAGTAAGAGAAAACTTATTTTTCTTACTTTTATTACTTTAGTTACTTCGAGTAGAATGATAATATAGGGGACATTAGGTTTTTGGTTATTATAGTTAGAAAAGGGATTGTAGAGATGAAGTATTGTAAATAGATAATGTAGAGAAAATAATCCTCAAATGTAAATAAAAGTTTTATTATAAATAAAGAGCTTCCTGCCCAGGAGGAAAGTAACAAGCGATACCCCAAGTACATACATTTGCTAAAATAAACTTACAGTATCAGACCCATATTGAAAATAAACTATAACTCCACCTAAACTATAACTATCATTAAAAATACTGTAATCAAATACCAATCACCTATTATTAAATCACTAAAACCACATTTTCATTCATTCATCATAGATCATGTAACTAAGCCATTAAACGAAAAGAAAAACTCCAACCCGATTCGACATTTTGTAACCCCAGGTTAAAAAAAGTAAAGAAAGAAGATAAGAGGAAGCAGAGATTAATAAGAAGAATAGGTTGAAGGAAAAGACTTAGAAGAGAAGAAATGAGTACTTACCTACAGATAAACTGACATGCCAAATCTAACATGCCTATTTCGACTTAGCCACCATAAGTTACACAAGGATTGAAAAGAATTAGTGACAGACTCACTAACTTGCTGCACAACAATATCTTATATTAACATTAATACTGGTATTTTGTTCACAATAATAGACAACACAACTAAACTAAACATTGAAGATTTTATATTTACAAGTTTTAATATAATTGCCTATAAGTGCTGCTTTACAGCACTTATGGACAGTTTACCTGTAGTGCTTTTTTTAATAATATCCCATCACACAACTTCTTAGATAGTCAATTTATGTAACAAATTGAAGACCACCAAACAAATATGTATTAGGTAATTATACAAACATATATAGACATACATATAACCAATAAAAGAAAATCCAATAAACATATATATACATTTGTATTAAGCAAACATTAATTATATTAATACAGGAAGTTCATAAATGCAACAAACACATAATAGCATAAAATCCAAATACTTTCGATACACAATATCAATATACAATGTGCTTATCATTATACTTACATACTAATTTTTAAAATCATATGTACGAGTATTATGACCTGCTTGTCCACAAGTACCACAATGATGAAGCCTATTGATGATTGAATTTTTGTCAACTAAATACATAAATTCAATTATTAGTATGCTAATAATTTATGTTTTGATGATACAGTATAAATCTAAACTTACCTATGCTTATTAAATCTGAATTTTCAACACTATTAATATTTTCCTGATCAATGAAGTAATCTCTAACTATATTATTGCTTGGTTTGTTTTTACTATTTGAATTGCATGTATGAGCATTGTGGCCACTTTGACCACATATTCCACAATAATGCAACATATTCTCATAATTAAGATCCTTGTCAGCTGTGATATATAATAATTGGCATTAATATTACCATTTTCTTCTTGAATAATGCAAAATTTTAACTTACCTATGCTTGATAAACTTGAATTCTCAATATAATTCTCCTGTGTACTGTCTATCTGATTAATTGAACTATTCAAATTGCATGTATGTGCATTGTGCTCTATTTGGCCACAAGTATCACAATAATGAGATCAGCTTTCTAGACTTTCTTGGTTTGTAATATCTTACATTTGTTTTTTATATATATTCAATATATCATTATGATTTACCTGAATTGCACTGCCTGTTTTTGACTTAAGTATATCCAAATTTGCATTCTTTTGTTTTTGACTTTTGGAATGAATGTCAATAGGATTGTTAATCGTAGTTATAAAATTATTATGATTATTTTCTGTCTTGAGTTCCATTTCCATTTCTTTCATTAGATCAAGGTGCATTTTATATAACTCTTTATACCACCTCATTGCAATTGATAAATCGAGAACCTTTTTCATAATGCCAAATCTTTTGCCTCATTGTTACTTAAATAATATTTTTTTGCAAACATTATTGGTAAAAACATGACTCCCACGAATTTTTTTAATATGCTTAAAATTGACATGAATACAATGTTCAAATGATCCAAAATTATTATTATACATTGCTGAAATCACTGGCTGATTTGCAACATCTATCTTTTTTTCACACACTATCTTGTCCAAAAACCATCTATTAGATATGAGCCCAACATAAAATTTTGCAACTTTTGATACTAGCATCACCACGAAGAAATGCTGGCAAACAACCCTATAATTAATTAGTGTCAAACAGGTGCAAAGATGCATTGCCTTATCATATAAAACTACAAAATGCTGGCTCTTTGCATCGATAGATGAAACTTTTCAAATTTTGTAAATACATTCATGGTCTAAGTCACTAATTAGTTCTTCTAGTTCAATGACGAATGCATCAAACATATCATCAGCGAACATTACAATTGATACTTCATTGGCTATCTAAAAAAAAAAAAACAGTTTTAACCTAACAAATTCTATTTAAATGTAATCATAGGTAATAATTTAATTATTTATTCATACAAGCAATACAAAATAAATACAAATAAACCTTTTCTATACTATTAATGAGAACTTGCAGTAAAAACTATGTTAACATAGAAAATATACCTGACGTTGAAATTCATCCACCAAATTGACTAGCTGTGCTCGATAATGGATACTGCGATTCATTTCACAATACTAAATTTTAAAAATTGCTACTGTCAAAAATTTTTGACATGACTCATCAACCAACTTAAAATATCTATCACAATAATTTTTATTATGAATCACTGGCAGTACACCTTTAAGCTCATTAAAATGTTGATACCTATTATCTTTAATAAGTAACCTCTCAATTGTGTTACTCAATTCAAATAGAGATGAAGAGCCATTAATATGTTTTTTTATAATACTGTTGTATGATTTAACCTGCTGAGTAGTTTGTACACTGGCATTAAATGACTTATATGTAAAACAAAGCACCCATGCTTCCTGGCAGGGATAAAGCTATCGTTCCATATATGATGCCAATTCAGGATACTTTTGTATTAGATCTTCCCAATGTTTCTCAAATATAGATTCCACATGACTAATTTGTGTATGGCAAAATTCTCTAAAAAATTCTCTATACTTTTCGCCCTTATACATACTTAGAAAACATTTTTCAAGATTTTTTTGTATATGTAAAAGACAAAAATGCTGTTTTGTAGTTGGTAATGTTGCACTTACAGCAGCAACTATAGCACAATCAGCATTCATAAATAGTACTTTTGGTGCTAAACTATTTGTTGCCTTGAGCAAGTTTTCTAAAATCTATAAGAATGTTTCAGTTGTCTTATCTGAAATAACTGCAGTTGCTACTAGATGCAAACAGTTGTGATTGTTAATAACTATTAAGACACAAAGCATCATAGAATAATGGTTTGTTTTAAATGTCATATCCATAAGAACCATGTCATGAAATCTACCCTACAATTGTATTTGACTGGATGTCATCTACATAAGAGCAACTAAATGATTATTTGTCCCTTCAAACTTTGCCTCAACAAAATAACCAGGATTATCACATTGTTTTTTAATCAATTCCAAGTATGTGCTGCCTGCATCATCTGCAACATGACTTTCATAACAGATCATCTGTAGCATTTTATATACATTACGAGCATGAATGTATTTTCAGGGTTTTTTTGTTGTAAAACCTTAATAATTGAACCAGCTCTAACACCACAAGACATGAGCAATCTAACATCATCTTGCATCTCCTTTGTTAATCTTCTATATCTTGATTCAACCATAGTAATATTTTGAATCATCTCATGATTATATGTACCAACAATACTTAAAATGCAGATTTGGTTATCATTTTTATACTGATATAGATTTATATGAAAGGAACAACCTATAGTTTTATGATCCTGATCCCTCTCACCAAGTATATGTGCTTCTTTATATGGCACATATCTTTGTTCTTTTGTACACATATAGACATGCCATCGAGGTGTCTTATCAGATTTGTCATTTTCACTGTGTGTAATACTAAATGCAAAGCCCAATTCCTGACCATGACATTTCAACCAGCTATTGAGTTTATATAAAGAAAATAATGATTATTCTTAGAAAAAACTGTAGATTCAAATGGATTTTTTTTTAATATAAACATACTAGTCAACAGCTTTCCAAGACTTGAAAACCTGACTTTTGACTAATAGTTAGGCAAATCTTGTATTTTTTTCATATTCTTCATGATTACCTAATTCTAATTCATTGTTATCATCCATTCCTTCATCATTGTAAAAATCTCCAGAGATCTCATTATCATTCATGTCAACACTCATAAAACTTTCATTATAGTTCATGTTGATATTCATAAAACTCTTATTATTATTCATGCCAAAATCATTATCAACATCAAAGAAATCCAAGTTATCTATAGCTAACAGTGAAGTGCCCAAGAGAATATTAACTTATAAAAAGAAACTGACAAAAAAATAGTAACAGAAATAGAAGCGATGACAATTTATAAAACACATGACTCAGGAAGAAAAGAGGTATTAAAAAAAGGCAATACAGAGAAAAATACCAGAGAAAAAAGGTAGTTTAGAAAAAAAAAATAGTTTAGAAAGAAAGACAAACTGGAAAGAAAAGGTAAATCAAAAAAAAAACTAAAAGAGAATATAATCTAAAGGCTATACATAACAAGAAAGAAAAAGAGAAATTGATATAAAAGAAACAGCGAAAGCAAGAAAAAAATATTGTGGTGAAAGTAACACAATGAAAGCAAGAAAGCAACCAAAAAAAACAAGAAAGCAAAACAAAAAAGACAGTAAACCTACTAAAAAAAAAGGTACAATGAAAGTGACATAAAAGAGACAGTACAAGCAACAAAAATAAAAAAAATAAGACGTAGAGAAAACGATACAGTAAAATCGAAACTGCAAAAGCAACAAGGCCCAGTAGATGCAACAAGATAAAAATGACACGATAAAAGGTGCCATGATAAAAGCGCTACAGAAAAAGCAACACAGCAAAAGCACAGTGTGAGCGATATAGTGAAAGTACAATAAAATCAACAAAGTAAAAGTAACAAGTTAAAGATGACACTACAAAAATAGTACTGTAAAAATGAAACTACAAGAGCAACACGTAAAATGACCAAAGTGAAAGTTATATTGTAAAAATAGACCACAATCAAACGATACTATAAAATGCTATAGTGCAAGAGAAAATTGTAAAATCATCTGTAAAAGGCAAATAAATATTAATGAAATAACCTTTTATTGTGTAACAAATAAAAAAATTATATAATATGCAATGATCGATCTAATACAGTAATAAATAATAAATAGTTTATGTAACTGTTGGTGCTGATCACCATAAAGTTTTTTTATAACATTTGTTTTTGAAAATATTTGCAAAACTTTAATACCTAAAATTGAAATCTAAAAACTTTTTTCTAATTCCTTATAAACTTAAAAATGTCTAATTTCATATATACTTTTTGGCCTCATACTTTTGCTACTAGAAATGGTTTGAGTAAGCATATGACTAAGTATATTTGTACTGTTAATAATAATAATTGCATTGTTTAGCAATCTTTTGAAATTATTTGAAATATTTAGAACAGTACTAAAGCTTCTAAAAATGATCTTTTCAATTTTGAAAATAAATAATTTAATAGTAGTTTTTCTGCTAAAAAATTTTATTTGAAAATATTAATTTTCAAAATATTTTGAAATCCTCTAATAATAATACAAGTTCTTTTAATTTTTTTAATAGGAATATTATACTTGATAATTTAGAAGATATGTTCTTTGAGTTAGCTAATAATACTAATACTTCAATTAATTTTGAAGTTAATCTTAATGCTAATATTTTTGATGAATTTGAAAATACTTTACATAAATATGAAGATATTGCTAATAATATTTCTTTAAATAAAGTAATTTCTGAAGATATTTAAAATAATTCTGATAATAATTTTAGCCAAAAAAATAATGAATTTTCTAATAAAGCTTATGCTAATTTAATGCTTTTAGTTACAAAATATAAGCTAATTAATGTAGCTAAAAATGTAATTATTTTATTTTTTAATAAACATTCTAATTATTCTATATTTTTATTGCTAATTAATATTAAGCAAGAAAAGCTGTATATGAATAATATAAGATCTAACTTATTATATATAAAAATTGAAGTATTAAATTATAATAATACTAAGTACTTCTTATACTATGTGTCATTAATTAGTTGTATTAAAAAAATATTAGAAGTTCTTAATATATCAAAAAATTTTATTCTTGAATATAAATAATTATATAAAACCACTAAGATAAATATATTTTTTAATATTATTTATTAAAATATTTATTTTGTTTTATTAATTTAGTTTTATTTAAAAAATAATAAAAAAAATATTTATAAAAAACAAAATAATGAAATATAATAAAAAACTACTCAGAATACTTTTTTATCTTCAGGCTTAAAAATTTTGTCAATTATTTTGTATTCTGATGCTACCAATTGTGATATATTAGGTAAAAGTCAGTTTTATCTAATATATTTGTCATTTAGAAATATATCTACTTGGTGCAGAAATAAACAAGATACAAAGCAATTATTAGATTATTTGCTAATAATAAAATTAACTTCTAGTGTAGCTAAACAAAAAGCTAGACAAACTTTTTATAATTGTCTAAAAATAATCTTAGAACCTATTTAATTATATTTAGAAGCTAAAATTAATTTGTAATTAACAATAAATATATATAGTTTTTTTTAAAAATTTTAACAATTATTGCAGATTGGCCAGAAATTGCAACATTTTGTCTAATATACAAATCAGCAGCTCTAACTATTTTTGTTATTTTTGTTTAATTAATAGAAAAATTTAGCTAATTTAAAACTTATTAAACATGATTTAAAACTTAGAAATCCTGAAAATATGCTAAATTATTATAATATAAATAAAGAAAATATAGTTTACATTGAATCAGTACAAAATATTTTTTGTAAAAATTATTATTTTTTTTTAATGTTAAGGCAAGTAATTGTGATCTAGAAGTTTATTGATAATTAGTCAACATATCCCTTAGATTGTAACATAAGCAAATTTGCCTATGTTAATTTTATTAAAATTAATTTTTATAATAAAATTTTAATAATTAATTTTAGCAATATACTTTCTAGGCAAAAAATATTTTTAAAGACCTACTTTATAAACTTTGCTAAGAAACTTTTTTAATTTTATTAAAGAACTTTTGATTAATTACAGTGTAAAGTTTGTGTAATATTAGGGTTTACTATTAAAATATTTTTTAGCTTTTCTAAAATTTTATATATTTCCAAAGCTAGAAAAAAGTTTTGCTCTTAAGACAAGTATTAATTTTTATATATAAATTATTAAACTTGTAATAATTAAAATTGTAATCTTTAATA